TTTTGGGCTTCATGGGTTTAGGGTTTCCCCAGCTCCTAAAATCAAAAGTCCCAAGAACTCTTTACTACAAACTCGATGAAACCCTTTCTATACCAAACCATATCTACAAACCCTGTAAAGCCCTAAGGCTCCTCGCAAAAAAAAGGCGCGATAAAGCCTTTAAAAGTCTCTAGAAACTCAAAACCCCTAAACCCTAACCCTACCCATAGGCCCCTAGGTAGTTCCTTTTTGTGGTTTATATTTAGAATCCTATAAGGTAATCCCAAGAACTACTTGGGGCCCTGTGGGTAAAGCCCTCCATTCTGAGCGCGAGAAAGCGGATGATCCGAGGACCCTGGGATGGCGTGACAACCGAGCTCTTCGGCTGTAACTTCGGGGTTTCAGGGGTTTCAGGGTGTAGGGTTTAGGGTTTAGGGTTTAGCTTTGAGGTGTCGGTTAAAAGATTCTTCTTTCAGGGTTCCTTTAAGAGGGTAGTGTAAGGGTTCTTTTCAGGATTCGATTGGTTTGATTCGGTTCTGTGAATTTGTTTGAGAAAAGGGCTCTGAGTTTAGTGTTTAAGGTTCCTTGAATCGGTCCTTTTCGGGGTTCCTGTATGGGTGCTGTTAGGGCTTTGGGCTTAGGGGTTGACGGCATTAAGGCCAGGTATACCTGAACCTTAAACCCTAAACCCTATAAACCCTAAACCCTGTAACCCTATAAACCCTAAAATTTAGGGTTCCGTCAGGGTCAGCCGGAAGAGTCAAGAATGCCCTTCCCGAAGGCTTTCGTAATGGCTTTGTAACACGGCTTAGGGTTTAGGATTCGTATACCTAATTAGGGTTTAGGGTTTAGGGTTTGGGGTCAGGATTTGTATCCCTGCCCATAGGCCCCTAAGTAGTTCCTTTTGGGGGATTACCTTATAGGGTTCTATAAGTGTTCTATATATAGACCATAAAAAAGAACTGCTTAGGGTCCTATGGGCAAACCCTAAACCTTAAACTGCATTTTACAAAACCCTAAACCCTAAATCCTAATTGTACTACAAGGTACCCCCAGACCCTGCTCTGCAGTATTAAGGCCCCGCTTCTTCAGGCATCTCTTCTGGGTTCCATGGCGGCTGCGTGAGGGCTCCGTAAGGGTTGTATAGAGCTTCGTTTAATAGCGGTTCAACATCAGACGAGGTTTTAGAACCCAATGTTATGGAGGATCATGAGATGCTGGTAAGTAGGCAAGGTAGCCGAAGGTACCGATGACGACGACTACGACTTTCGCCACTACTACTACTACTACTACTACTACTACTACTACGACCACCACCACCACCACCACCACCAGTAATTACCGGCTGCTACTACCGCTCCTGTTGCTATATAGTCGTCACACATCAGGATGTGTAGCCACACAGCCGTGAAGAACCTTTTTTGGAACCTCATGCACTTTGCGAAGCACGACGAGACATATAAGAAGGCCACGCCATTGACAGAGCGTAGGCAAGCCAGCCCGCTGCAGTAGGCTTCCCTCTTGGCGAGGAGGAAAAGAGCCTGAACAGACAAACAGCAACTAAAGCGCTGGACAGTAAATCCCACAAATCTGCACCGACACCACCACCTAGCACACCCTAGCCCCCACAGCCCTGAACCCTATACCCGCAAACCTAAAGCCTAAACCCGAAAGCCTGAAGCCCCAGTCCAAGTAGAAGCCAGCACACCAAGGAGTCTCTTCAAACGACTGCACCCCGTGGTTCAGGACAGATCTGGGTTTACGGTTTAGGCTTTACCTATAGTCTCCATTGTAGTTCCTTTTGGGGCTACCTTGTAGGATCCTTTATATAGAATTGGTTAAACCAAAACAAGGAACTACAATGAAGACTATAGGTAGGCTTTAAACTTTCGGCACAGGGATTTACGCAGCAGGCTTCAGTGTTTACGTTCTAGGGTGGGCCCGGTTTTTGAAGGACTCTAGGCTTGGCAGTCTCGGTTGTGTGGGTTTTAGGTCTTTGGCTTTGAGCGTTCCGGATATGCATCCAAGCATTCCCTAGGATATGCATCCAAGCATTCCCTAGGGCTCCAGTTACCTAAATAGTAGGTTGCTGGGGTACAGAATATATGGTTAGTAACCCACTATTTAGGTAACTGGAGCCCTTGGGATTCACGTCCGAGAAAAGTATCGCCTACACCAGACGCGGAGCCCTCCGCTTATCATAAACCTTAGCAGCCGTGGTTGAAAGGGTGTACAGAAAAGAGCCCGGCCGGCACGAATTGGTCGAGAAGCCCCTAAACCCTAAACCCTAAACCCTAAACCCTAAACCCTACCTGTCCACGGACCTTGCGCCCCCCAGGCGGCGACCATGGCGAGAGCCAGCCAGGTCCTCCGGAATCCAAGCGCGAGAGCTGCAGGATCAGCCCAGAGAACCCGATACCCCTTAGTTAAGGGAATAGACCTGAAATCATAAGATTAAGGCCCCTATAGTTTAGGGTATATTCCTTATTTAAGGGGTATTGGGCTCTCTGGGAGTGGGTCGCCCACTGCTTGGCGGTGGCTCGGCCAGTGGCCGACCCACTCCTGGACGCTGCTCAGGGTTGAACAGCCGGACAGGCCCTCCCTCAACCGCCTGCGCAGATGCAGAACAGGGGGCCTCGTGATGATGCCGCGCATGATGCGCGTGCCAAGTTGGCCAAGAGGTGTGATGGTCTGCTTGATTTTCGAGTGTAGTGCTTGCTGTCCCACTGCTCACACGTTGCCAGCTCAATAGGGCTTTCGTAGATGCTTTTGTGTGGATCGAAAAGGGGCCCTTAAAAAGATGTATACCTCCCCTCTCAAGCCCCACTGCTTCAGCAGCTGAAGCTTAAAGCCGAACCATGGCGGTCGCAAAACAAATCGGGAATTGGAGGGCTTTGGCTTTGAGGCGCTGACGCGGCTTCTCATCTTGGGTATGAATACAAAGCAAGGACGCCAAGTGTCGGCAACATACTCGTAGCGGTATTGGTATTTGTTCTACTGCTAGTTGCGGTTTCCGAAAATGTGGCCCCAGAACTTGCACTGGATGGCTAGCTTTCACCTTTCGTAAGAATACAGCAAATCCTCAAACTCCTGACCCTAAACCACCAACCACGTTTGCGCAGACCATGATGCAGAAGATGCCCAGCATGAAGAAGGACCCTTGGAGAGAATTCGGTCGCTTTGAAGAGTTGCGTTTTAAGGGTTTCCTGTTCATGGGTTTGGAGTTTTGGGATTTAGGGGTGTAGGGTTTAGGGTTCAGGGAACAGGGGCTTAGGGCCTAGCGTTTATACAAGGGTTTGGGGTTCAGGGGGTTTGGGGTGAGTTTCCGGGATCATTTTCGTTATTGGCTGGTTCTTATCAGCAGCAAAACTCGATTGGTACCGATGTTACTCACATTGTCGCTACAACCATCGATATCAGATTTGTAGCTCCATTGTCACGGTGGATTTTGCCATTTTGCCATGATTACCACTAACCCTGATTGTTGGTTGTTAGTTTTGCTAGTTGTATTTGGACTCTTACATGAAATCTGCCCCCCTCCCCCCTCACCCCCCCCTCACCCCCTCACACCCCGCCCCCCCCCCCCGG